TAGCCTGCCCCCCGGCTCAGTTGGGTCCAGCTCACTGGGGCTGGCAGGGGCATGGCATGCGCTGCCAGATGCTGCCGGTGCCCAGCACAGAGCCCCTTGCCACCATGAGGGAGCAGGCTCCAAGCCCAGGCTCCGACAATCCCCAGGTCCTCCAGTGCCACGAAGGGCCATCGCGGGGACAGGCAGGCGCGATGACAGCTGGGGAGATGGCCTGTCCTCCGCCAGCCCCACAAGGCACCCAGCCCCACTTCACAGAGGTGTCGCGGAAAAACTGACATCAGCATCAGCCCAAAGGAATTTGGCCACCCTGGCCCATCCCAGCTGGGGACAGGGACAAGGGCCTCCACCATGCACCACGGCAGCCTTGAGCAGGGCAATGCAGAGGGACACACGTATAAATCCCCTTCTTTGCTGTACCACTTCCCAGGAGCAGCCAGAGGGCCTGGGAGCATCCCCGGGGTACTCTCTCTGTTCCCATGTGCCCCTCCATGACCCAAGTGCAGAGAACAGCCAGCTCATGACACTGGTGACACCCCCTGTGTCAGACAGGGACAGTGGTTGGGGTTTATTTCCCCAGAACCTCATTTTTGTACCCAGGGCTTCAGCATGGGGAGAAGGGGCTAATCACTACCCAGGTCCCCCAGGGCTCCTGGTATGGCTGTGACCCTGCCACCCCTTTGTCCCCTCTGCTCCCCACAGTGCCGGACATGATTGCTGACCCCAGGAGGGCCAGTGGTAGGTGGTGGTGGGGAAGCTGTCCAGACGTGATGACACCTCTGAGCTGCCTCTAAGCTGTGGACCCCAACATCCTGCTTCCCTCCCCCAGCCATGCCAGCCTTCATCATCTCCTCATTCCCAGCCTGAGTAATTGGTGGATTGGTGACAGACAGGCTCATTAACAGCTTAATTTCGGCTCAGTCTCTTCCTGCCAACCCCCAGTCCAGGTGGGGACAAACTCAGCAGGGTGCAGGGATGGACATCTCGAGGCCAGTGCACCCCATTGCTGCACCCCAGGGGGGCACCCACAGAACTGGTGGGAGAGTACATGTGTGCACACACGTGTGTACAACACACATAGGCAGGCAGCCCTGCCCTAGGCAGCCCTCGTGGCCTTGGCTTCCCGACACCAGGGTGCATAGGAGGGACCCCCATCCCTGGGCATGGGGACAGTGCCACCCTGCCCCTCACCCTGCTGCCAGCAGTGATGCCACCGGGACGGGTGCTGCAGGTGCCGGCAGCTGCCCACCCTCTGGCCTCACCCTACTCTTGTTTGCTCTCATATCCGCAACGGCTGTGGCAGTTCGGCTCCTTTGTTCTGGCAGATAACAGGGTCCACCACTGCCTCTGAAGCACCGGCTGGCAGCCGGGCACCGCTGACACCCCAACTGGGCACCAGGCATGTGGGGTATGGGCAAGGGATGCAGGCAGAGAGGCAGGCAGAGCCTTGGGTGCATGCAAGGAGTATGGGTAGGAATGGCAGCAGGGATGGGTGGCAGTACTGGCAGGGCTGCAAGCAGTGTGTGTGGGCATGGAGTGCAGAGGTGCAGGCAGGTTTTACAGCCCCACTGTTCCTCTGCTTTTGCCCGCAGGGTCACACTGCAGCCCAGGAGCCCATCCCCAGCACTCCCCTACCAGGTCAGTGCCCAAACCCACACCCCTATCCCCCTCCCCAGCAAAGGCAGCTGGAGGCAGCCCAGAAATGGCTGATATTGAGCACTGAAAGGCTGCCCCACCGGATGGAGGCCTGGCTGCATTTCAAAGGAGCACAGTTGTATAATTTATCGGAAGGAGATAACAGCTAAGGGCGGGCGGCGGGGGGAGGGAGGGAGAGAATTGCACCCCCACTCAAAGGAGACAGTCACCACAGCTACCAGGGCTGCCAGGATCCATCACACTGAGGGCATGGGCACTTCCCTGGCCATGGCAGGACAGGGGAACACCCCAGTGGGTCCCATTTTGCACTGGGATGTTTTGGGATTGCCCCAAGGCAGGGGCAGACAGTGTCACCCTGTGCCCTGCTTTGGAGGCACTGGCTGGATGCTCCCTCTTCCCAAGCATGCCTTCCCTGGCTGCTCTGATGTTCAGAGACCACAGTGTCTAAGGCAGGACCAGATCCAGGCCACCTGGGTTTAGGTTTTGGATGGCCCACCACCCCAGGGACTCATGGCCTGGGTGCCTCTGCAACCCAGCATGGGGGGGGGAAGCAGGCACGGGGGAGCCCAAGGTAGGGAAGGACTGGTCTTGTGGGTACAGGGGCAGCGCCTGGCGCCGGATCTGGGAAGGGTTTGTTTAATCCCAGATAAGGAGGCGATGCCAGGCACCTGGCTGGCAAATGGGTGCTCCCCAGGCAACAGCACCAAAGGCCATGCTGACCCCCCTGCACCCACCCCAGGACCATCTGCTCCCCACCCAGCAGCACAGGGGTGGCATTAGCCTGGCATTAGTCAGTCTCTCTGACCACCCACACTCCTGTGGCACAGCACCGCATGACATGGCACAGCATGACACGGGGTCAGCAAGGCAGCCAGCACACAGGCAGAGTGGCGGTAGTTGGGGTTATAGTGCAGGGAAAAGTAGGGTACCCCATCCTCTGCCAATCCCGGCTGGATTTATGCCAGGGCCAGCCCCCTGTCTGATCCTGCCCCATGGGCTGCCTGGGTGTGGGGCCAAGGAGGGGGCTTGGCACCATGGCTGTGCTGCACGGCCAATGCCCGGATGTTCAGGGCTGTGCCAGGCTCCTGCTGCCACCGTGGCATCTGGAGGGTACCTGGAAATCTGCCCCTAGCCAGCTGGCCTTGCGGGTGGCTGCGTGCCAGTGACCCCTGCAAGGGGCCGTGCCCGTGGGCGCTCGGGGTCGGGGCTCAGGTGTGCGCGGTCCCGCAAGGGCAGGGAGGCAGACGGCACTGCCGGCTGGCAGGGTCTGCGGGTAGCAGCATCGCCGGCTGGTGAGCACAGCCCCGGCTGCCCACCGGCCTGCGCTGGGCCTGCCAGGCCTCAGCAGGGGCAGGAAGGGACTGCCGGGTGGGATAAGCCCTTTGTGTCACCCCGCTCTGGCCTTGACAGCGTCCAAGCATGGCTGCGCCAGGGCCTCCCTGCCTGAATCGCACTGGGCTCCCAGGGGTACCCTTGAGCGCACTCAGGGCTGGTACATGGGCCCCGGCCGGCTGGCCCCGGCCTGATCGGTCACATCCCTCCAGGATGGCATCTTGGGGGTGCTGGAGGGGCCAACTGGTCGGACTGGTGAGCCTGGCCGGGGCAGGGGTCTCCCCTCCGGACCACCCTGGGGGCGCTCTGCCATGCTCGGTGTGCTGCTGCCCCCCCCTGGCAGCGTGCACAGCCGCGGATCCCCCTCGCGGCGTCCCACGCAGGGATGCCCACGACCCCACAGCACAGCCCCGCACTTCCCATAGCAAGCAGGGGCACCCCAGGGTCCAGGATGGCAGGGGAGGCATAGGGAACTTTTGGGAGGTCCACACCCCATGCCCTGCACTGTTAAATTGGGTGCCTGGGCATGTCCCCCATACTGTGGCAGATGGGTTTGTGCCTGCGTGGGCAGAGTGGGAAGGGGGCGTGGGGCTGGGGGGGGTCGCTCGCCCAGACGATGATTAGAAGGAGCCGAGGTTATGTCGCAGCGCATTAAGGCTGTCCCTGCTGAGCACCACTGCCGCGGGGTGACCCCTCCGTGAACCTCCCGTGTACCCCCTCCAGGGGCCCCTAGCCCCTCGCACCAGCACCCCTGTCACACCACCATCTCCAACACGTCACCACCCTGCCCCATCCCACTGCCTGCACTGCACGCACACGTGAGGGGTGTGCTGGCACCGAGTCAAGGGGGACCCTGTGTCACGGGGGACACACACTGTGTAGAGGTCACACCGGCTGGGTCTGGGTACCACAGACATCCTGCAGCAGGCATCCCAGTGCAGATGCTGGAGACACCTCGGCTTTGGGTGCCACCCCAAGCCATGTCCCGGAGATGCCTGGCTCCCAGGGTTAGCATGCACTGCAGACACCAAGGCCACACATGGAGACCCATGTCCCATGGATGTTTATGCTCACGGCCTCGTGGTCCCCAGTGAGCTGCTGCCATGTGCCACATGGACAGTGCTGTGCCACCCACTTTCCCCGGTCCCTGTCACACCAGGACACCACCCGCCACCTCCACGCCAGCCCCATCTATGCCACGTCCAGGCAGGCAACCCCTGCTCAAATTGGGCACAGGGTCCCAGCTGCCACATCCCATCTGAGCCAGGAAAACCCAGCTAAGGCAGGCAGGCGGTGGCATCGAGGTGCCGGGGCGGGGGGGGGAGAGGGGATGGCAGGGATGAACTCTCGACCCCGCGCCGTCGGCTCCCCACCAGATGCCAGGCGTGCGAGCACCGGTGTAAGCCGACCCCAGTCCTGCCAGAGGCCGGCTCCCCTCACGGTTCATCGGCAGGACACGGGTGGCGGCCACCGCACCTCCCCCTGCCAGAGGCCACCTCCCCTCCCTGCCCCCAAAAAGCCGTCGTGAGAAGGGGAAGGAGCGGGCGCAGGCTGCAGCCCCGCGGCCTCGTCGCTAGTTGAGTCTGCGCAGCTCATGACACTGATGCTGCATCCGCGGAGTGCCGGGTGAGGCCCTGCTGTCCCACGCCTCGGGGCTGTCGGACGGGGGCTTCGAAGTGCGGAGCCATCCGCGGCCTCGCAGCTCCCCCTGCCGACACCTTCCGCAAGGGCACCCCAGCGGGGGAGCCATGCGCCCTGGCAGCCCTCCGCTGCTGCGCATTGCCCCCGCCCTGCAATGCAGCTCCGCTGCAGCGCTCCCCCATCTCACCCCACGCCGTAACTGCAGGGCGCGCAGCGCAGCCCACGGCGGGGAAACCGGCGGCACCGGGACCAGAGGGCGCTAGGGCCGCGCGGAGTCCCGCCGCCGGTCGGCAGCAGCGCGCAGGCGCGGGAATCGCCCCGTGCGTCCTGAGGCTACTTCCGCCCCACGGCGGCAGGGCGCCTGCGCGGCGGCGGCGGGTGTGTGTTGTGGGTGCGCGCCGCGCGGAGGAGTGGGGCCGCTGCCATGGCCGGGATCCTCTTCGAGGACATCTTTGACGTGAAGGACATCGACCCCGAGGGGAAGAAGTTCGACCGTGGTGAGTGGCGCCCTGCGGCTCCCCGGCGCCGCCTGCCCGCGCCCTCCTGTGCCCGCCTTTAGCCTGCCCCGGGCCCCCTTCGCCCTGCCCCTGGGCCGTGGCTCCTCACAGTCCCTGGCATTTGCCCGCCGTGTGTTGCCGCACGCCGGTGCGTGCTTCTTCCCCAGGCCGGCTCCCCGGTGCGTACCGCTCCCGTGGTTCTCCCTGCCTGTGCGTCCGGAGGCCTGCTCCCTGGCCCTGGTACCCAGCCCCGAGCCCACCCGTGTGCATCCCTTTCCCCCAATATCTCGGGAGCAAGCCAGGGTTGGGTGAGAGACCTGTTCCCACTCAGTCCCTGGGGTCTTCTCTGTGCTTGTCCCTCACTGCTGCTCTCCACAGTGTCCCGCCTGCATTGTGAGAGCGAGTCCTTCAAGATGGACCTCATCCTGGATGTGAACATCCAGATCTACCCTGTGGACCTCGGTAAGCCATTGGGCTGCTAGTCCAGAGGGTGCCAAGCCTGAGCCAGTGTCATCTTGGGTGGGTGAGGTTAGAGGTGCGTGCTGGTGCTTGGAGGAGGGTGGTTAAATTAGCTATGAGCAGGGAATGAGCTGCCTCAGACTTCCTTGGGTCCCGGTGTTTGTCTCCACGAGGTACTGGGCACTCTCAGCATGCTGGTGTTGAGCTGGGTTGTGGTTTGCCTCACTAAATGTGTTTGGGCTTGTCCCCAGAGGTGCTGTCTAGTGAAACTGTCTCAGTTGGTGGCAACAAAGCTTTGAGGGAGACTTTAAAAATGAGCTTCTGTGACTAAATATATTAGGTGGAAAAGAGTCTTATCCTCAGTGAAGCACAGAAGAGCTGGTGCTGCTGTTGCAGAGTCTCGCACTTGCTGCCCATGGTTCAGCCAAGTCCTCTGGGACTCTCCCCATGAATATCTTGTTGTATGCCATGAAAACAGCAGCGGTGGTGCCTTAGCGGCTCTGTTCTCTCTGTGGTGGTGACCAGTGGCCGTGGGGAGCAGGGAGACAAATGATCCAAGATGAGCTTTTCCTTGTTCCCCAGTCCTGTTGGAGAACTGAAGGCAGAGATGAGTTTGTGCTGAACCTGTCAGGACATCTCCTTGCCACCACACTGAGATCTGGTGCGGCTGCACCCTCACCTTCTCACTGCTCCTCTGCCCTCTCTTCCCAGGGGACAAATTCCGCCTAGTTATTGCCAGCACCTTGTATGAAGATGGCACGCTGGATGATGGCGAGTACAACCCCACAGATGACAGGCCGTCCAGGTATGGGGGTCCAGCTGGGAACATGGGTGTGTCAAGGGGGTGAGGTGCTGAGGTTCCTTCTCTCAAAGAATGCTCAGCTGGAGGAATACCTGAATTTGACTCTTCTCAGGGCAGACCAGTTTGAGTATGTGATGTACGGCAAGGTGTACAGGATTGAGGGGGATGAGACCTCCACGGAGGCAGCCACACGCCTGTAAGTGCTTATTGGTGGGAGGAGGGGAACGTGGAGCTCCAGGGGTGGAGTGGGGAGGCATTGGGATCTTGGCCCAGGTTTCTTGTGGAATTTTTCACTCTGACTGCTCCTCTCCCACCCCAGCTCTGCCTACGTGTCCTATGGGGGGCTGCTCATGCGGCTGCAGGGAGATGCAAACAACCTGCATGGGTTTGAAGTGGACTCTCGAGTTTACCTGCTGATGAAGAAGCTGGCCTTCTAGGAAATTACCTGCTTCTGTGGGCTGCCCCAAAGATGTTCTGCTGGCAAGCAAACAGGAACCCTGTGATTCCAAATCCCACCTCCGTGTCTGTGTTGTCTGGCCCTTCTGGAACTGGGGAAAAGGGAGCAGTCCCCCCCCCCATATCCTGGCTTCTTCTGACTCTTGGGATCTGCAGCCCCCTCTTGCAAGGAGAGGGGTGCCTGATGGCTGAGTGGAGACCAGCTGGTTCTGCAGTCCTGGCTCTGGCCAGGGGCAGCTGGACTGGGACAGCCACCTCTCTGCCTCAGGGCTGGGCACCATTTCCTAAGGAGCCATCCTGAGGCAAGATGGGCTTGATTAAACTAGGATGTGTTTTCTAGATCTGTCTCCGCTGGCTGAGGCTGTTGGGGAGCGGATGTGCTTGTGCTGGGGAGCAGAGAGAGCCTGTACCACTTTCCCAAAGGATGGGCAGTACAAACTTGCCCCAGGCTGTCCTGCGCGCCTCTCCGGGTGCTGCATGCTGGGGCTAGGGACCAGCAGGCAGGTGCATGTGGTGAGGTGCCGGCCGCAGCCCGCCCGCCCTGCAGCGCTGCCGGCTGCCGCGGGAGGGAGCTGGGCGCTGCGGGGAGAACCGAAGCGGCTGCCGCTTACTGAGGTGAGGCCCTTGGGGGTGTGCAAGCCCCTGCCAGGGCCACAACGGCAGCAGGAAAGGACACAAACAGCCCGTTATAAAAATAGCTCTTTAATTGTAAAGCATTCACAGTAGAGGTGCCTGCCTGGGTGGGAGCAGAGCATGTGCCCACTGCGTGGGTGTTGCTGCTGTCTTGTCTCCATGGGCTGTGTGGGCACAGCAGGCTTAAACAGCCAACCCTTTCCCTGTGGGCACCTTCCTGGGTACCCAGAGCACAGCTGGGCATCTGGCTGTGAGCCCTATGCACAGCCTCATCGGGCCCTGCACCGAGGGTCTGTGCCACCTGCCTGGCCTTGCTTGCACAAGTCCTTTGCCAGGTCGTGGAAGAAGAAGCGCAGCTTGCCCTGCACCAGCTGTCGGTAAGTGAGGAAGATGCCAGTGATGTGGGTCTGCTCCGTGGAGCGTGGGGAGCAGCCTGGCTCCCAGGGTCCTGCCTGAGGGTTGAGAGTGTGATGAGATGACAAATGCCGCCATACTCAGTGCAGTGCAGCCAACACTGCCCCAGGGTATTCTGGCTCAAGGTGGGAAGACTCACCTCCCAGCTGAAGGTCTGCAGGAGCAGGAGGAAGGAGTTGGCGTGTTGGTAAAGCTGGCTCAGCTGCCTGGCCCCGCACGGCTCGTTCACCTGGCCCTGGGCACCCACCACAGCTCCCACCAGCAGTGCCATGTCACACAGGATCTCCCGCCGCTTGGTCTCGTTCTGTGGGAGCAGGCAGCAAGTAGGCTGACCTCAGGCCTGGCTCATTCCTATGCCCATCCTAGGTCTGGAGGGGGGTTCTCCATCCCCCTGTACTACCAGGTGTGCTCACAGGCATCTTGTTTGGCACTTATGGTGCCTCTGCCAAACCAGAGTTTCCTTCTTCAGCCCTGTGAGCACTGCAGTGCCAGCACCATCCTCCCAGCCCCTCTCACCGATTTGGATTTCCACTGCTGGAGGCTGAAGTCCACCAAGGGCAGCACTGCGGGACAGCTGAGTGCAGGCAGCACCTGGCACTCGCCCTGTGGGGAACAGGAGATGCTGAGGTGAGATACCAGGAGCTGTGCCCACCTCTCATCTTGGGTTCAAGGGAGACTATCCTCACCACTCTCTTCTCCATGTCCTTGGCCTCCCCAATGTACTTCTGTATGAGTCTGTTGTCGCAGACCAGCCGTGTTGAGCTGGCATGGCCCTCTTCCATGTGCAGGAGAAAGGATGTGAGGAGGAGCAGTCCTGGGAGAGACTGGGTTACCTTGGGCACCATGCCATCCTCCCTGTTCAGGTCCAACCCTGGGGCCATGCCTGCAGTGGCAACCCTCACCCCAGCCTGTTGGTGGCTTTATTGGCCCAATGATGGGGGTGCAGGGAGAGGTGTAGGGGGGCTGAGGGAGGACGTGAGGTGCTGCACCCCTGTCAGCACAGGTGCCAGGAAGAGCCAGTGTTTCTGTGCTGGTGGTGTGTGCCGAGGGCCGCACAGCCACATCTGTACCAGGTTTTTCAGCTCCGCTCTGGGCTGGGCTGCTAGTGGGGAGCAGAGCCATGCTCCCAGTGCAGCCTGGGCCAGCTCTCCAGATCTTTGCCAGGAGCAGCTCTGGGTGTCACATGCACTATGGGGAATCCCTGCCTGCAGCATCCTGCAGTGTACAGCTGCTCACCGCTGCTCTGGCCAAGAGCTTGCCTTCCCCAGCACTGCCGGCATGCTGCTGCCAAGGATGTTTCTTGGCTGGGCAGCTGCAGCATCCTGGCACTAGGCATCTCCTCTCCAAACACCCTGTGTGCATCCACCTGCCTTAGCACTACACCTGTCCCCAGAAGGCCTTTGCACAGTCTGTTCCCTAGGGCAGGCATGGAGAGATGCTCGCCTGCCCATGAGCACTGGTAGGAGCCAGGTCCAACCAAACTAGAGCCACACTGGAGGCTTGCTGCCCACCTGTGGGGCTCATCTCTTGGGGTACCCATGCAGCGGATGCTTGGGTTGTACAGCCGTGGTGTCTGCTGCCAAAGCAATGCCCCTTCCTGCTCGCTCCCGTCCCCCCTTTTGGCTGCGCACTCACTGTTCAGCTCCATGCTCAGCTGGGGGCTTCGGCCCTGCATCTTCCACCCTGGGGCCAGCGGCTGCTCCCTGCCTCCCGTCCCCCTTCCATGGAGGGCGGTGGTGGCGCGGGCTCCCCGCGAGCTGCCCAGTGGGAATGGAGGGCCGGGGGCCGGGATTGCCCCCGGGACAGGACAGCACGGCGCGGCGCTCCGGCTCCGGCCTGGCCGCCCAGCCGAGGCAGCGCGATTTCCTGTTGTGTCGCCACTGACCTTCAAGCAAAACTGCAGCGGGGGCCCCGGGCCCGGGGGACGGCTTCCTGCCTCCGGCCGCTTCCTCCCTTGTCCTGGGGCGTGGGAAGGGCGTCCCTGGGGCTGCTCACCTGGCCCCTGGCCTGAGCACTTGGCTGCTGGCACTCCAGTGGTCAACACCTCAGCTGTGCCTGGCCAGGGGGTGAAGGTGGCCCTGATACCTGCAGAACGGATGGCATGGGTGACACTGAGCTGGGTGACCCTGGGATCATCACTCCTGACAGGTTCCTGCTCCTGGCTTTGGCAGCCAGGCATAAGGGCTACCAAAGACCCTTACCTGGAGATGGGGTCCAACCCCAGCAACCCTCACCCAGAGGCAGACCTCATCCCTGGTCAACTTTATCCAGGGGTGAGCCCCAACCCTGGTGATCCTCACCCAGAGGTGGAGCCCAACCCTGGTGATCCTCCCCCCGAGGTGGAACCCACCCCCAGTGAACCTTGGCCAGAGGTGGGCTCTGTTCCCTGCATCCAGCACCTAGGGGTAACTCAGGATCCTGGAGATCTGTGGTGTGGCTGTGGTGCATGGGGACCCCTCCGAGCCAGGGAAGGTGATGGAGTCCAGGGGTTTGTCTGGCACGTGGTCCCTGGGGCTGTTTCACAAGACATACTGGCTGTGGATGGGTGAAGTACCCACAGATACCCCCTTCCTGTGTAAGAGAAGCACTGGGGGTCTGTCCAGCACCAGGCCCTGGCATGGCTGTCACATCCCCCCTGGCAAACCCAGCCCCTGCCCTAGAGCACCCTGGCTGCTGGGGTGGGGGATGCACACACCCATACCTGTGTATACATGCATGTGTGTGCCCAAATAGCACACATATAAACACTCCCCATGTGCACGCACACTTCCTGCGGCACATGTCAGGATGCACGCACAGATAACTCTGGGAGCCAGGCAGCCCTCCACATGCTTCCCTTTGGCGGAGGACCCCTCCAGCTGATGTCCTCTAGCTCCCAGTCTCCCTGCAGCCTTGTGCTTCCTTCTCACACCACTGCTCTTGCACGCTCCCACCCCTGTCCCTGTGGCCAGCCGTTCCCGGCAGCGCCTGGCCGGGTGACAACAGTTGGAGTAAACACCTCAGCCCCGCTCCGCCTGCCCCATGCCCTGCTCAGCCCCCAGAGCCCACCTTGCAGGTCACGGGGTGCCCAGACGGGGGTCCAGCAGGTGCTGTGTCTCCAGGGATGAGGCTGGCAGCCTGGCTCATGTGGGGCACGGCTGGCAGGAGCCATGAGCACCGGGGTCAAACGCGGCCAGGCTTCCCCTGCTCAGCCATGCCTCGTCTCTGCGGACGTGACAAGCTGCAAACACGCCTGACAGCACCCTCAGCCCCTCCGACAGTGCTGGCCTTGCTCCTGCCACTGGCCCCGTGTCAGTCCCTGCCATGCACAGGTCCGTATCCTTCCCAGGGCACAAAGCCATTGATGATGACAGGCTGGAGGGCTGCAGTGCACTGCACTCCCTACTTGTCCTCATCACTAGGCAAATGAATTCATCGAGGGAAACCAGACAGCTGCTGGAAACTGGAAGTCTGCTGGACACCAGTGGGCACCAAGGCAATTAAACTGCCTTCAGCAGCCCCTTTACTTCAAAATGCTCTTTTTCAGTCATGCCAGAAGCTGGTGGGCAGCAGGAGCCTGTTCCTGTGGGCAACCTGGTATTCCTCTGCTGAGAAGGGCATTGCCAGTGTTTGCTGACCACAGCAGGCAGACAGAAGGGGATGTGGGAGGAGCCCCTGCTGCTGGTCCACTTTGTTTCCCACAGCAAAATCCAGAGATGCTGCATGCTGTGGAGGGAAGGGGAGTGGGGATAGTGAGTGAGGGTCAGAGAGCTCGGTGTGGCATGGAGGTTCTGGCAGAGGTGAGCAGGTATCTGGCAGGGGGCAGGAAGCTGGGGGGGAGGGGGGGCTGCGGGGCTGTGCAGCTGGCCAGATCCTGGTGCCAAGTTTCCCACCTCTCCTTACAGGGTGCAAAGTGCCGGGAATCCCACTGCGGGGGGGCGGCTGTTTGCACCCACTTCGCCAAGGTGCTGACGGTAGCCGGAGGTGCCAAGCAGAAGGGGGGGGGACGGAGCGACGTGTGGCACAGCTGCTGACCCACAGGCCACCCAGATGTGCTCGGTGGGCACCCTCAGGGATGTCAGTGCAAGGCGGGGGGGGGGGGGGGTCATGGGAAGCAAACCTGGGCTTCCAGGGACGGGGGGGGTGTGTGTCTCAGCCCCCTTTGAAGCCCCCATAAAAGGGTCCGGCATAAAGGGAAGAGAAAGTCAAAGGAACAAAGCAAGCAGCTAATCCCGGCATGAGCAAACAGCCCCGTTTGCTCAGGGCACAGCTGTCCCCGGGACGGGGGAAAAGAGCACAGCAGGATTGTGGGGGAGCCAGGCAGCGGGGGACCCTCTACCCCTGCCGGTCCGCTCCCTGGGTGAGGGAAGCTCCGGGGGCTGGGTGTCTCCTGACCCCTCCGGGCCATTTCACGTTTGCATATTGCCAATAAACATCCGTGGTCAGATCCCGCTCCCCATGCCCTCCGCATCACGCTCTGCTCCCTGCCAGCCCGTCCCACGGTGCTGCTGGGCATATGGGCTTGCAAAGGCCACCTTGGCCGGGGTGCTGCAGCTCACGGGGTGAAGGCTGGCAGGGTTTTCCCCATCTTTCCTAATTCCCAGCAGGCTACACGCTGCCCGGTACCCAGCACAAAGCCCTAGGTATTGTCCAGAGGATGCCCATGGGCGAACCCTGCATCTGCTCCCTTTCAGCTTGTGCCAGTGGCTCTGCTGGAGTTTGGGGTGACCCCATTGTGTCACCTTCTCCTATCCTGCTCCTCAGCTGAGCTCCCCACCCCAGTGAGGGTCACAGGGGGTCCTGGGAGGGCACCTCAGCCCTCTGCCTCCATCCCGCGGGGTGGTGAATGGGTTAATGCCAGGCGGCCGAGCCGCAGGTGGGCGCAAGAATGAAATTCCTTCTCGCTGTCCTGCGAAGTCTGGGCACAAATATTTGCCTGCATGTCCGGTGGGGAGGGGGGAGACCACCATCACTCTGGGAGTTTGCTAATCCCCATGCCAAACACAGCCCTCCATGCCCTGCATGCCCCCCACCTTCCCCCTGCTGGGGTTGCCCCACAGCAAGGGGAAGAGGAGACATTTGGGGCCAAGGGAATACCAGCACATTTGGGTGCTCCTATAAGCAGGGAGCTCTATAGAGTTGACGAGTGCTAGAAGCAGGTATGGTACTCCAGGACAAAGCCAGGATCTGCATGGCATGGCAGACAAGGCTGTTTTGGGGTCTCCATCCTGCTCCCTGAGCTGTGCCTGCTGCAGCAGTGCAGGATGAAGACAAGAGCCCCAACCATCCCCGTCATGCCAGCAATGCACCCTCCATAATAAAGTCCATGTGTTCGCAGACAGAAAACAGCCGCTTTCCACGTCCTCCGTCACTCCCCCAAACTGCATCCCCATCCCTGTACCTGCCACCCCCAAAACCCCCTCCATCCCCAGACCCCCCTGGCTTTTGTCTGGGGCAGCCCAGTGCTGCAAGCCGCCTACCAGTTGTGCAAATATTGCTGGAACGACTGTAATCCCCGTGTCCAACGTGAATTATGAGATATTTCCACCCATTACGACAGCCCCCCCCCACACACCCCCCCCCACCCTGCCGCGTGTGTGCGAGGCTGGGGGGGATTAGTCACGGTGCAAGCCGCGATCAGCTCAAAGCTTTGGGGAAGCTGATGGCTCTCTGCACCCTGGGTCGGTCGAGGGGGGCTCGTTTTGGCAAGAGGGAGTGCCCCTTGCGCCTTCCTGGCTCTTGGCTCATGGCTGCTGGGGTGCCTGGGAGGCGGTGGGAAGGGGCCCGAGGTGTGCGGTTTTGCCTCGACCCCATCGCCGGGCAGCAGAGGCTCCTTCCTGCCGCTGGAGCCCTGCTCATGTTCAAAGCCGCAAGCAGGCAGCAGCTAATGAGGCCAGACAATAGGGAGCTGCGTGGGGCAGGAGGCTGGCGAGGGCCTCTGTGACACCCGCACGCCAAGCACGGCCCTGGCACCGTGGCCCACAGGACCCTTGCTGTTGGACAGGGCATATGCCCACAAAGTCCTGGTGGCCCTGGTGGCCACCTGGAGGGTGTCATCAGGAAGTCCCACCCGTTCTGTGCTAGGGTGGCACTCACAGGGGACACCATCACCCCACCCAAGGACAAGCTGGGTGCCTGCTCTGGTAGAGGTGCTGAAGGGTGTGGGTGCCTGGCAGGGTGGTCGGGGCTGCCCATGGCCAGCCAGCTCCATCCCCATGTGGTTCCAGCTGCCCACAGCCGGCAGCCCTGTTGGGGATGTGCTGGTGCCAGGCCTGGCTCTGGAGTGCCTCAGAGCCGCCTTTGTGCAGGGTGCTGCCGGCACACATGTGCTGGTGCTGGGAAGCAGCTGCTGGGACCCAGACCCTTTCCCAAGTGCCGGCGCCATCCTCCTCCCCACCAGCCCAGAGACCCCCGAGGTTCTGTCAAGCCACCCTCTGCCCTCACATGGAGGCACCCCATGGCATGTCCAGGGGCAGCCAGAGCTGCGGATGAGGGACGCCCAGGCACGGCTGGGACATCCCTTTATCCATTTCACCTCTGTCGGCGTGCCCCCGTTGCAGTGGCAATACCCCCTCCCTGAGCAGGGCTGCCCTCCTGCACTGCCAGGCCCTGTGCCAGCATACCACCCCTATCCCAGCCCGGCAGTGCCAGACCACCCTCACAGCCCCCCTTTCCCTCACGCTGCCACCCTGTGCCTCAGTTTCCCCCATGCCGAGGACTGCAGACAGGCGGGTTCCCTGTCTCTCCTTCCTTTCCCTGGGAAAGGGGAGGGAGCTTCCCCTGCCGCTTCCCTGCTTCCCCGAGTCCCGCAGCCGAGCCAGGAGACTGTGACGAGCTCTGGGTTCGCGGAGCCAGCAACAGATTCCTGGCACCGGCAGAGCGTCCGGGAACCGTCGCCCGCCTCCTCCCTGCTCGGCCCTGCTCACGTCCCGCCGTCCCTCAGGGCCGCTGCCGTGCCGCAGTGGACACCGTGCTGTGACGCTGGCACGGCCTCGGAGAACCCAGTCTTCCCCTGCCCACTGCGCTGCCGGATCCCAGGCCCGCGGGAACGCTGGGAGAGAGAAGCCGGGACAGGTCAGTGGCACTGCAGGGGACA